CACACACACACACACACACACACACACACACACACACACATATATCCCCCCAACTAAGACTCCCACCTTGAGCACTGAACTTAGACTCTAAACTCTATAGGCTAGCTGTTAGCATATAGGCAGCCTACCTCTAGGTCGCTTAGCAACCTCTGATGTCATCATTTGTAGTGGCCACTGGGGCCCCTGGGGATGAAAGGATCCCTGGCTCTCATTTCTCTCTCCTCTCTTGTTCTGTCTATCTTGGTTTCTCTCCTCCTCTCTGACTGTCTCCCTGGGGTGCCTCACCCATCCTGCTTTCTCTCTTCTATGCTCTCCCTCTGTCTCTGTCTCTGTCTGTCTGTCTGCCTCTCTGTCTTTCCCCATCTCTGTACAATAAATCTTTTCATACCAAATCAGTTGCATGGCATTTTTAAACAGTAGACATGTAAACAAATCAAACCCATCTTAGCTCTTTATTCAGATGATGGCATTGTCATGTCCCTGCTCTTTACACAGATAGTTACGGCACCTTCTGTCAGCCACCCGCCTTTCAGCATGTAGTTGGCCCACAGGCCTTTCTCTTTGTTATCATAAAAGGCCTTCAGTATGAATGGCCCCTTCTTTCCTTTCTCAAGACAACTGCCCACAATAAGGCTTAACCACTCAAGCATTTCCCACAGATCCTCAACAGTCTTTATTGAAACTCTTTCTCTTTCTGCCAACTTATTCTTTACACTGCTCATTGCAAAATACAGATCTGAGTAAGTTATCCTTCTATTATCTGGAAAATGTTCATGAACATTTTCCTACCTATAAGACAATTCTATGGGATTTTTTTCTTTCTTTCTTTTTAGCCAAGGCCCAGAAGAGCATTGGATTCAGATGGCTTCTGTTGGCTTTGGTCTCCATGCTTCTTAACACCTGTCTATACTCCAGGCACAAAGCTTGCCCATCCTGTTTTAAAGTCCATGTGCTATTTTCCCATCCATCCTTCTCTGGCAGCCTCTATAGCCCCTTGCCTCACTGCATGTTCTCTGTCACTTAAATGCCACCTCCAGTGTGAAAGCTTCCCTGGCTTCCAGGACCAAATGAGTCAAATAGCAGTGTGCTCAGCTCTGAGTACACCAAGTGCCAGGTGCAATTCCATTAGGAAGATTCATGAACTTCTGCAGCTCAGGAGTGTCAGGCCCAGTGTCAGAGATGAAGAGCCTCTTAGCTTGCTCCTCAGCCCAAGAGTCCTCCCAGCTTTCCATGCTGCCCCTTCTCCTGCTCGTTGAACATGCCCTGGCTGAAACCCCATGTTCCATCAATAACAGAAGCATGCTGAAGGCTACAGATAAAAAGCATCTCTTTGACAGCAAGCACGTCTTCCACATCTTCATAAATAACCCAACAACAAATCAAACTTTGGACAGAGTACAGGGAATCTTATGAAAGAAGGAGAAGATAGAAAGACCTGGAAAGGACAGGAGCGCCACAGGAGAGAAACAGAACCAAGAGATCTGGGCCCAGGGGTCTTTTCTGAGAATGATACTCCAACCAAGGAGATAACCTAGAACACCTGCACAGATGAAGCCCATGGAGGCTCAATGTCCTAGCGGGTTCCCTAATAATAGGAACAGAGACTGTCTCTGACAAGAGCTCAGTGGCTGGCTCTTTGATCATCTCCCCCTGAAGGGGGAACAGCCTTGCCAGGCCACAGAGGAAGACAAGCAGCCAGTCCTGATGAGACCTGATAGGCTAGGGTCAGATGGAAGGGGAGAAGGACCTTCCCTATCAGTGGACTTGGAGAAGGGCAGGGAGAAGAGGAGAAAAGAAGGGTGGGAATGGGAGGGAATGAAAGATGAGGGAAGGCGCTACATCTGGGATACAAAATGAATAAACTGTAATTAACATAAAAGAAAAAAATATTAAAGCGAGTTTAAAGAAAAATATTAAAACGGGTTTAAAGAAAAAAAAAAACGGTGGCGTTAAGCCCCTTATTAGCCTATTCCAATTCATGAGACAAAAGCTGAATGCTCTTCCCAAGCAGCACAGCTAGTAATGACCACCTCTGGGGTAGACCCAGGTTCATCTTATCAAAACGCTAAACTCTGGGCCAACACACTATGGCAACGCAGTGATGGTGCAGTTCACCTTTTATGTCATGACTCTAGAGTTTTCAGGGTACCTGCCTCTCTGCATGCTTCTGCCCACTGACCAGGTTGCTCCAGCTGTTTCATACTGATAACAGGTTCGGATGATCACATTTGTGTTTTGATGTACCTGCCAAGCTGACTCCCATCCAGCACTTGTCTGCCAGTTTACTTGCCCACCTCCACCCTCTGATGAGGTCCTGTCTGAGGTCTCACTTCCTCTTGCTCCCTCTCTCCTGCCATGGTTTAGGTTAAGCCACGTCCTGCTGTGCATGGAGATATGTCAATACTTAACAGAAATTTTTGTCTGTGTATTTGTCCCCAAGGTCCATGGAAAAATCACTTCATGAGCACAGGAAGGAAAAGCACACCCAAACTAGGTGTGCCTCTAACCTGGGTTTTGACCTTATCACCGTGTAAGTTGAGCTGGGAATCATGGAATGGAGGGAGGAGGAATTGTGTCTCTACTCAGCTGCACTGTGGGAGCTAGGGGAGGAGGGAGTGGTGGAGAAATGCCTGCTGCTTTGGCCTGTGGGTAGGCAGGAGGCTTCTGGTCCATCCAAACTTCTATCACAGATCCTTCTTTTGTATTTCTATTTTGTTTGTAAAGAAATGTATAGCCAGCATGGTCTACCAGGAGAGTCCAGGACAGCCAAGGCTATACAGACAAACAAACAAACAAAACCAAGAAATATTATAAGCCTGTAGGGTTTCTTTCTTTAGCCAGAACATATAACTCCATTTGGCTTTTGGTTGTTTGCTTGCTTCTAATTGCTATAAAGTCAGCATTTAGTCTGCAACATTCTGAAAGACAATCTTTCCCCACTCCACCCCTCACTTTAAGTTTCTCTTAAGTAAATATGCCTATTTATTCTGCTTGTGAATTTAGTAAATTTTATAAAATTAGTTCTTTACTAAATTTCAGAAGTCTTAATCATTAGCTCTCTAAATATTACTTTTGTTTTTTTCTCTTCTCTTCTCTTTCTGGGATCCTTTGCAATGAATCTCTAACATGCTTTAACCCCACTTCTGTCTTTGAATCTTTGTGTCCACCTATGCTTTTCTTCATGTTCACTATTCTCCCTTATCTTCCAGTTAATTATTTTTAACTTCACCTTAATCTAATTTTCTCAAACCTTCTGGAGTCTTCAGTTTAGATACTATGTGGCTTTTTTTTTATTCTAAAATTTTCAATTGGCTCTTTTTAATAGTTGTACTGCGGCTTTTTATAGTCTGTAGTTCTTTACTGAAATACTTTAGCTTGATTTTTATCTTCAGGAGCTTAGTAACCATGTGTCTGGCGGCCTCGGTATTGGGCATGCCAGCAAGTTTGTTGTTGTCTGTTGTTCTGCTGAGTCTCACTTAAGTAACAGCATCTTGTCAAATAGATGATAGCCCGTGACAAGCTGCTGATACTGCACATGAGAACAAACGTGGATGATTCTCTCTCCCCTTGTAGAAGGATCTACATTGTTTTCTCCAATGGCCCGTACCTAAACATAATAAAAGATTGGTTCCTTTTATCTCGTATCTTGAGATCTGTGGGGACACTCGATGACTTCAAGTGGGAGGCAGTTGCTGTAGATGTTATTGCGTCTTCACTTTACTTAAGATCTGCTTTGTATTTTCCAGAACCTTCACCTATTTGCACCCTGGGCTCACTGTCCTCTGCTTCAGAAGCCCCGGAAGAATGGTCGACCTTTTCCCTTATAGGCAGAAACTGTTTCAAATACTGTGTTCACACTTCTCTCCCATATTAAATGAGACTTGGCTGCATTTAGAAAGATGTTTTTAAATGTCATCCAACTTTAAAATATTTTTTTCAGAAGTGTTAGTCCAAATTAGCATTTAAGAGAATGAATGTCCTCCACATAAAATCCTGGCCACTTAGGCTGTTTAGGGGAGGGATATATAGTCATAAGTCAGGTAAGCTTTTTCTAATGACCCAGCCTTGTAAAATAACACGTAAAATGAACACCTTTAGACTTTTGAACCATGGAAAAAACTCTTGGATTTTCCTGAGTCAAATACAAAAGAAGCTAGCCAGTTAGAGTACGTGTCAGGAACTGTCAGAAAACTGTTATAGGAAGATCCATTAACCAAGAAAGCCTGGTTTATAGTAGAATGAAATACCTATAAATAAATGAAACATGGAAAATATTTTGCTGGAAAACCAGTAACGAAACCTTTTTAAATTACAAAATAAAGAAAACGACATTCTTACATTAACTACAAAGTATTAATTTCAAGTCTGAAACTTTTGCTGTTGGTAGTGACAAAATCACCTTATCATTAAACCCACTAATAGCTGCATCGCTTTCTGTACCCCAACCTCTCAGGCTGTTTGGTCCTATCAGAGAATTGATTGGTTTGAGGAGCAAACTGAAAAATTCTGATCACAAGAAGAGTAAAACACTCTGGGGATCGCAGAAGTTTAATGATGATCTATCTAAACTAGTTGTGAGCATCTTTCTATGGCTTCCAAGATCTGGTTTGTGGCCAGCCATGCCAATAAGGAGGCTTTTGTAGAAATCAAACACACACGTGCTCGTGTACACACACACACACACACACACACACACACAGTCCTTTCCTCCTTTTTCCAGATAATGGACTGAGATAGGACTAGTGAAGCTATTTCTTGATATGAAGCAGAAAATAAAATAAAAGCTAAAAGTGCTAGAGCAACGACGCAGCTGCTATACAAACCTCTGTATTAACCACCTCCTGATCACATTTTAAACAAAAAACCAGTGGCCTTATGTTTGAGGTTGCTAGGAATTGGCTCTCCTGTGACCTGACACGGAAAAAACATCCCTAATTAACAAGCGCACCCTCAAAACTCCTACGGCAGTGGTAACAATGTTTGAAATTTGAGTCACTTACCGTAATACAAGAATCTGTGGCTTCAAGGTCAAAATCAGTAATGTTCAGAAGAACACGGTGATGTTTTTCAACTTGAATGAGCCAAGAACACTCAGTGTTATCTCTGTAGCTATTGGGGTAATTTGGAGAATGAATCTCTCCTCTGGGAATCTGTAAAATCCCACCACAACCTGTAAGTAGGAAACAAGGTTCAGCCATGAGAGAAACTTCTGTTATAAAAAAAGGAAATGTAAGTAATGATACTAGCTACAGGGATCAGTATCCTGCTTGGCTTGACTATTGTATCAGTTCCATGCTAACAACTTTAAAGAACTAAATATCCATATTCACTCATTCATCTCAACATAAACATGAGAATATGGATAATACTAATAAAATAATATCCGTATTTTATTTACCAAAAGTTATTTTGGTGCCAAAAGTTAATTAAAATAATAATGTGGGAGGAGGGTACCATTCACTGATAGAATGCTTGCCTAGCATGCATAAAAACCTGGGTTGCATAAACTCTGCACAGCCATGCATCCTATAACCCCAGTATTCCTAAAATGGAGGCAAGAAGGTCAGAAACTCAAAGTTATCTATTATTAGACATGGAAAGTTTGAGGTCAACATGGTCTATATACGTAAACCATTGTTTTGACAGTTTATGAAAATACAAACAACTGACAGAAAATTTCAGCAATGTTTTCCAGCAGTGGAGCTAATCTGAATACTATGCATATCAATTAATATGCAATTCACTTGAAGAGGTTTCACTTAGCGTCATTAAGGAGGCGTTAAGGAGGTGGCCTGACTTGGCCTTGAGCCACTTCTCTGCACTAGCATCCAGCCGTGGGACCTTGGGCAAGTCGCTGAGTTCTCCAGGCTTTCTTTCCATGCTTGTAAAATGAGGGTACACAAGAGGCCTCCCTCACAGTGCACAGTATAAAGATTAAACGGGATAACCCTCATTAGCTAAAAAAGTAGCCATTCCTCGAACACCACCAACCTCAGCAATCATGGGTGTCTATTAAAACGCTTTGATCTATGTGTAATTTAAAAAAGCTGCAACATGCAACTTATTTTGATGACCTAAGATCTTGGGCAGAAAATCACTATCGCAACAGTAATAATTTTGGATTTCGCAAATTTAATGTTTTTTTTTTCACATTTGCTAAGAATCCAAAGTCTACTCTACAGCATGATGTGACCTGGAGAATAGAAACTTGTCATGCAAACAAATCTCTCCAACCATCTCAGCTATGATCTATATACACTGACCTATTTATATCCTTGAAAAATTAAACCCTACCATGAATTTTAAGGAAGACCATACATCAAAGCAATACTGGCTACTCACAAGGTCATCAGGATATAACTCTCATGCCTTCTTCCAATAATTTTGTAAGTCTCAGCTAGGCTTCATTTGGCTCAAATGCTTTCAGAATGCCTCCACATATTCACTTACCTCCAGGGACTGCTTGCCATGAGGCATTGAAACCTCTCCCATTTAAAGAGCTGTCCGTTTTAAAGCGGATTGCTAATTCATTTCCAGTGCTGGAGACCTGCATGGGGCTCACTGATGCTGATCGGGAACACAATTGGGCTATTCTTGGAGAGTGAAAATCAAGACCTGTGTAGATCTAACAAGGGCACAAGAAAAAGACTTCAGTTAAAAGACACATTTAGGCATTTCAGCCCCTTCTTGAGCTCCTTTTCGCAACCAACTCTTGGAATCTATTATGATTAGAGATTATTGTACTCAGTCTCCCTGGGTGGGATGAACTATGAACTTGAACTGAGTGTTTGCAGGCACTCCTTCTGCCTTTGGAACATGTAATTTCAGTCACCCACACAATACCTGTTTGCTTCATCAGATGGGAAAGTAAAGTAGAGCACATAGGTTATTTTAGAATCTTCCCTATCTTTTGCTTTCTTCTTTCTCATATGTCTGGGAATTCTTGCTTTCTCTGACAGAGACATTGCATAATACAGTATAAAGACTGATTTTCTAAATCTTGTAAGTCTCAGGAAAAATCTTATGAACATTGGGTTTACTGAAGGCTATTGATTTTCTAATTACATATTAAGGAAATTCTATCTACCCTGAAAACTGAATATTTTTTAAGACAAGGAATCAAACATAACAGGTTTTTTCTTCAGAGGAAGTCAAAATACAACCTGCAAAAGTATATTCCAGACCTCACAGGAGTGACATGCATTCTCCCAAGCCTGCTCTGAGGAGCCTGGCCAGGATCTCCTAACCTCCCAGGTAAAAACCCTCTAAGTCTGTCCCACATGGCTGCAACCCTCTTGGGCACCTCCACATTTGCCCAACTCTGTGTCTGACTTAGATCTCTCAACTCAGCGGCACATAGTACAAGAAGGGGTTTCCTTTAGTTGGCTCTACTCCAGTAGAACTCACTTATCTCAAGTGTGCATGGGATTAGAGGTGAAGAGAAGTAAGACTTTAGATACTGACACCCCTACTCCCATCTTCAAGGTATTATCAAAGTTGCTTTGTAGAATTCAGACCACTTTGGATGATAGTTTTCAAATATATTCATGTCTGAGTCCACAGTACCCCGGGCCAAAGCCAGGAACTCAGCTCTGGGCGATGCCTCAATAGGCAGCAGCCCCTCATCTCTTCAAGCTGGGCCTCTTTCCTTCTGCCCCTCCCTAATGCCCTCCCTTCCTTGCTCACTCTCAAACCCTCAAACCCGCAACTGGATGATAAGGGAATTCACTCAAGAGTTCCCTGGGGAGACAGTGAGAACAAGAAACCCACTTTGGAGGAGGAGTACATGACTTGAATCTATAATGATTTCTTTGTCTGAGTAATCCCCCCCCCCCACACACACACAGCCAGGCAGGAATTAAAGTAAAAGAAACTGCTGTTTCCCAGAGGGCTGAGCACAAGAACAGTAATTGCAAAGGAATGAAGCAGGCAAATGCTCTAGGCTTATTTTCATTAGGAGGAGCTGATGTTTACTGTTTGTGAGGCCCTGAAAATGCCATGAAAAGCAAGGCTTCAGGAAGAGCCTCCTTTGTCCCTTTCCACATACATTCAGGTGAATGGAAGCTTATCTCAAGAGCCTCTGTCCCACGTCTCTCATTCCGACCTCTGCCCAGGATGCAGTCCCCAGCACATGCAGCCAGCAGCATGTGCTCCTAATCAGAGGAGGGCAACAGCCAGCAAGTATTTCCAGAGAAGACCATGCTGGCGCTAACTGCTGACAAAGAGACCTACAAATTGGCAAAATAATCTTTGTTTTCCCTGTTCATGCATCCCCTTGAGATGGCAAACATAATGGGTTTGAGTTGGCTAGGCCTAGCAGCCTCCACAGGAATAAACACGGCTACTTCTGACATTCTTTGCCTCCCCTGGAGCTGGGCTAAGATCACAAACGAACATTGCTGAGAGGCCTGGCTGTGCTAAGTGACCACAGCCAAGCAATTGTCGTGTTTTGTTGTACCAAGGCAGGGATTTCCTCTCCTGGACGCTGATCCAGGCTCTGCACAGAGCTTTCTTGGAGACTGAAATAAAATCAGCCTGGGATTTCCATAACCAAAACAACAGAATGGCGATTTTTGGTGCCCATAAATAAAACTGGCTGCACATGGTCAGAGTGGGAAAGGATGGAAAGAATTTCAGGGGGTGATTCATTCCACTCCAGCTTGTGACTAAACCCTGCGGGGGGGGGGGGGGGGAGAAATGGTATGGTGATCAGAGATTAAAGTGTGTTTTTAGCAAATGCTCAGGATGGAGAGTATTTCAAAGCCTGTAGTGTTAATCTGTTCTGAACAGTGCTTTCTGCTCTGTTAGCTCCATTTAATTTGAAGGTCAAGTCAGCATTCCGGGGTTATGAGTCGCTGTACGGCTGCTCTGTGTAACTGGCCACTTTCTGGACAGTGGCTCTTTAGGGAAAGGAATGGCTCCTGGTAAAATTTGGTGGATTTCAGAAAGCCCATCGTCTAGTGACAGTCAGCCCTATTTGGCTGTGCTCAGCAGGATAGGAAAAGTGAGTGAGCAAGTTGACAAAGTTAGCCTTGTTTCTGGAGTACACATTCATTCGAATAACAGATTTAGAAACCTACTCTCAACATATTATCAGTGACCAAGAAAAGAAAAAAACCATAAAAGCCAACCTCTTCATGCTGATATTATCACCAACTCAGTACACATCTTTCCACCTAAGCTAAGCACTGGCAGAGAAATGAAAAAAGGGTTGTGGAGGAAAGGCCAAGCGGTTACTCTTTACAGACTTTGGAATCTTGACATATTCCCTCAAACTGTGCTCTTAAAACTTGGGAGCCCAGAGAACTGTCAACTTGTTCTAACAAACATACACCCAAGCAGGCAGCAACCTCTCTCGCAGACATTCTTAGCTGGCATAGGGCCACCTACCCCTAACAGTGCTGCTTGCTGCCCGGAGTCTCTGATTTTGTTCCTCTGCTCCTGAGGCTGATTGCAGAGAACAGACCTTGTCTCTGCTTTCTCATGTAATGGGTGTGACAAGACCCAAAGCACAATGAAGTCATTTACATTGTGCCAAGTGGGCAGCAATCACATGTATTCTGGAATATGAAAATGAAGGGCTTGGAACCTGGAACTGTGCACTTTGCTACAGAGAATTGGCTGCCAGCATTTTGTAAGTATTATGGGTTTTATGCAACCAAGTAGTATCCTTGTTGATAGAGGGGTCACTTCAGAATCCCATGGGTAAGTATTGGTGCTTTCTCTTCAAGCTGTAAGGGTGGATTTTGGAAGGTGCCTTGCTCTCTGTTAAACACCATTCTTCCCATCAGATGGAGTCGTGTCTAATAGCAGTACTGCCATAGAGAAGGCCATGAATTAGACATAAGACCTCCCAGCTTTGGCTCTGACTCCCTCCCTCTTACTACTGTCTCCTTGCAGATGGAACTGGGGTGCTGAATATATTTCCTAGTGACTATACCCACCATTATGGGACAACTTGGGAACCCCATTTCTTTGTACCAAGTAAATGTTAAGAGTTAACGTTTTCTATAAAGTACTCTACTATTTTCAAATCTCTCCCATATCTCATTTTATCTGGGTTTGCATAGAGCAATGAGGGGTGACTGAGTTCATTTCATAGGCCTTCCATTTGTGGAAGAGAGTGCTCATTGGAGCATATAGAAAACTACGTGAAGATTAACATATAGAAGAAACAGTTGGCATAGAAAGCCTTAAAATTCTTCCCCTCATAGCTGTATAGAAGAGAGCATGCCCAAGGAAAGCTCAGGATAGACACATGTGGGAGGAGAGTGGGCTGTGTACATGACCTATGAAGGCAATGAGTCCTGGGTATCAGCACTTGCAAGGGCATGCTTTTCTCTCAGCTCATTAGCCCACTCTCATTTCTCTTTCTTAATAACTGTCTCCATGTCTATTTATAATCATGCATCTCTGGTCCACTTTGCCTAGGACACATGAAACTGCCATTCATGCCTGAAATGGACATCATCCAGGTGGTCACAGAAAACCCCATGAACTTGAGACTTAATTTTGACAACTGTAATATGTGGACAGACTCCTCCTCTTACTTCATGCGGCTATTCACATCCTGGTGAGAATATGGTTGTATTCAGTCATTGTGAACCAAATTTGCATCATCACCATGTGTTGGTGAGAGATTTGAGTACCTTTGTTTACTCACAAACATCAGGGGCTCACTCTCTGTCATGTTCTTGGCCCTATGAATACAGGGGAAAATAGAACAAACCCAACATCCAAACCCTTGGAGGCTGCATGCTATTAGCTGCAGGATGACGCAAAACAGTAGTTCCCATAGCTCAGGTGATGGGGAATTTGTCTGTACTTAGAAACCATTCAATCTTGCTGCTAGGTCCAAGTTGGTTATAATAAACTCTAAGGCCCAGAGTTCCCAAAGGTTGTCTTAACTTTCTGAGAGAACTCTTGGAGTAGCTTTGGGAAGTTCTCTACAAAGGCCTTTTTGAAGATAAGGGTCACGCTAAGTGACTTTTAATAAGCAGCCCTCTGCAGCGGCTGCAGCCGTGGCACCCTGGCCCACCCCAGGCAGCAGCTGCAGATGGGAAGGCAATGCTCGCTCACACATGTGGGCAGTAGGGGCCGTCTTCCCACTGTCTTCCAAAAGCGGAACACTTACTCCAAGGAAGATTCCTCAGGAAGGAGAACTGTGGGCTGTTAAAGAACTCAAGCAGTTTTTTTGTTGTTGTTGTTGTTGTTGTTGTTGTTTATCAACAGGGACCAGTGAATCAGCCTCCTATCCATCCCGAAAAAGGCCCCAAGCCCAACCTGCCCACTGGGCTCCTTCTTTCCACTAGCTCTTCCCTTCCTTCCCTCTTCTTTGCTCCTATTTTCCCCAATGCTGCTAGCTGCACTCTCCTAGTGAACCACCCTCAGCCGCGGCCTCCTGGCACTACTAGGAAAGAACCTAACTAGTATATTAACCCCATATGTCTACTAAGAGTATCCAGTAAGAGGAGATATTTGATAGAATGTCTAAGAAGAGAACAGGGCTAGCCACTGGAAAAATGTGGGGATCGCTCCAGTTTTCACCCTGGATTGGTAATACACTGGGAAAATTGACTTCCTACCTCCAGGGCATCAAAATTGCAGGTTGAATGGTATTCCACATCAAAGTCATGGATGGTGAGCTGAATGCTACTCCCTGGGGCCACTCGGATGCTCCAGATACACTCCTTGTTGCTAGGATAGCTGCTAGGGTACCCAGGGCTGCTGAAGGAGCCCCTGGCTCCAGACATCTCCCCTCCACAACCTGTTGAACAAGAAAACCCAGGTAGCACAAAGTGGCAACAGTGACCAGAACACATTTAAATCTTCATCTCGCCAAAGGTGACAGAGAATGTGCAATGCCTCCTCTAGGAAGAAAGTTTAAATTTTGCCACTATAAAGCAGTAAGAAGTGTGTGGGATGCAGCCAAGTAGTAGAATACAGGCTTAGGATGCATAGGACCCTGGCTATAATCCTCTAGAGAAAGTGTAAGAGAGAGAAAATCACTTATTAAATTTAGATAAACATAGCCAGGTGCAGTGGAGCACACCTGTGATCCCAGCACTCAGGAGGCAGAGGCAGGTGGATCTCTGTGAGTTCGAGGCCAGCCTGGGCTACAAAGCGAGTCCAGGACAGCCAGGGCTACACAGAGAAACCCTGTCTCAAAAAACAAAACAACAAAAAAATTTAGATAAAAATTTATTGTGGTTTTTTTTCTAATAATAATCCTGAGTTCTTATTCCTAGATGTTCTTCATTTGCTTTAGATGAAAAGACCTAAGAGGAAGACAAAGGGAGGGCTAGAAAGGGAAAGCTGAAGATGATAGAAGGTATGACAATCAACAGGTACATAGAGATAGCATGGGAAGTAGTATTCAGACCACCAGTGCCCTCTGTATGATCATGTTGCATTTGCGGTTGAGTGAGTAACAAATATAGAAGAAATAGGAAGGTTTTGATTTATAGGTATTTGTAACTAAAATACATGAAAGATGACTTAGAAAAGGCACTCCAGGGCTCTAAATGGAGAATCTGGTTAAATTGGAGAATCTGATTAAAATGTCAAGTCATGAGAGAACAAGGGTACAATGAATAAAAACTTTCCAGAGTTTCAAACTTAGTGGCACAGTGACATGGCTCCTTGTATCCACTTCATCAAAGGCTCTCCTGGAAAGAACAGGATTCAGAACTGTTTAATTAGCATGTTAGAATCAACATTTTCAGAAGCATCCTATTTTATGGTCTAAATGTGGGTTGTGACATAAGACAAAATGCCCTCCAATACTCGCTATGATACTTTAACAGATAAGTAATTTACTCTCCAGAATCTTCAGGCTGCCAGGCCTTGGTCCCTAACTCACAGAGTTATTGTGTGGGTTAATAAAAGAGTCAAAGTAAGATTTTGGGAAAGAGGTAATTGCTTGTACTATCTATTGTCTCTCGGAAAGAGTTTATATAGATGTGAGACCACACTACAAAAACCAACCAAAAAAAAAAAAAAACAACAAACAAACGTGGGGCTAGGAGTAAAGATAGGGCTAAAAATTAAGCTGTCATTAGAAAAAAAGATGCAGAATTGGTCATTCATTAAGTTGTAAGACTTTAAAAACAGTTATATGTATATGGTAGTTTAGTTTTCAAAATGATTTTAATAAGCACATGATCGTGTTTGAAATTCCTAGCAACAAGATGAGGTAAGCAAGAATGGTATCTGAAGCTTCCTTTAGAGCTGATCTGTGAGTCCAGGTCACATAGGGAATTCCTCTCTGGAAAATCTTCACTTACTCTGACACCCCCACTCTGCATCTCCAGCCCTGTGCTGACTCCTGTAAGCCTGCCGGCCAAGCCGGCCTGACAGTGCTGTAGTGCTGTAATGAGAGCACTGGACATGACCCTCATGGCTGCTCTGCTCCCTGACTGAACAAAGAATCACCACAGCAACCTGGATAAAGGAAGCAGAGCAAATTTTTTCATTGACTTTGAGGCAAATCTGACACTGTCTCATATGTTAATGTCACAGACACCAGCCGAACTAGACTACAATAGCGCTTTGAAGCAACTCTATGTTTTTCCAGTTTTAAACAGTCAATCTTTACAAAGCCTTCACCAGTGACTGATAATCTATTTGATTTTTATTTTCCTCCAAACACTAGTCATCAGCTGAAAGGAAGTATTTACCTTATCAGCAGGAAGCACACTGCTCTACAGTTCTCTGAACAAGAAAGAGTTGAAAACTGTTGCTAAGTCTGTTTATTTTTGATAGATAATTTAAAAATTTGTCCATGAAAGAACTCACCTAATATTGTTTTTGTTTTGTCTAAAACAAGATACAAATTTTTAAATTGCACCACAAAAATACAAAAAGGATCTCCTGTCTTTAAGCCAAATATAATCAGAGTCAAGATGTTTTAGGTTATCCTCCTGTGCCCAGGATCATTTAAATTGTCATCTTTTCATCTTTTCAGTTTTCCTAACACTGTACTCTGTAAGCCAATTGCCAGGAGAGGTGCTGGGATGGAACAAATGTGGCTAAAGCCTACTAATGCTGGAGGAAAGGAACTGGGAGGCCAGCTTCTAGGGGACCCTCACATTCTATGCTCTGCTTCCTCAGCAGTTGATCGTACAAAGCCCCATAGCCAAAGTATTGTAAAACCAGTAACTATAGCAAAAACAAACATTAAACACAACAAAATGAGGAGGCTCACATACTTAACTGAATATTGATTCATAATATAATAGACTTCCTATAACCTAAAAACACAAACTTTTTGTTCTGTAATGCCTTGAAATGTGCTCATTGCTCAGGTCAACTTACTTCTATCACATAAAATGGCCTCTTTGTGCTTCTGCTATAGTTCACTGTTTTACCTCTGGTTTGTTTTATTGAAGCTTATTTTTATTTAAAACACACTAGCACAAAAGCCTGAAGGCAGAGCATACCTAGAAGAGCCTTATTTTGTTTTCTGTAGGAATTTAAGAATTCATGGCTTATAACAGATAGAATATAGAACAGAAATAATTTTAGAAGGGTTGTTTCATGAAAAGAACTTATAGCTATCTTTAGAAGTAAGCAAGTTCAGCAACAGACAGAAAAGAAGAGAAGGAAGAGCTGGAAGGGGCTGGGTAAGATTAAGGAGTGGAGTTTCACTCTTGGCAGGGTGGGTTTGATGGGAACTATTTAAAAAAAATAAAAAAGCTGGGATTTTAGGGAAGGTCCAAACCATGGCAAGCTAAACTATTTTCTGGTTCTCTAGTTTTACTTCATTCCCTAATAATTATAATTTGTGTCCTTCTTCTCACAAATAAATGCTAACCCATAAACATTCCCTAGACAATTAATCTACAAATTCTAAAGTTCAGGTCAGTACTGACAAACTTGGGAGACTTTGTCCTTGCCTTGTCTTCAAAGACAAAAACTATGAAACTCTCCTAAGGAAAAAGGAAGAAACAAGAACACAGAAACAAGAAACAGACAAAGCCTGAGTGAAGGACAGGTTTTCAAAGTCCTGGAACGGACTGGAGTAAGGAGAGTCATTTCCCAAGTTCATGTCGGCTAGGAACCTGAGACTCTGACAGGCAGGTCTTCTCAATGTTCTCAAGTCACGGCAAGGACCTGGATTAGGCTGGGACTGGAACCTAACATCTAACATGTCCTCATGAGAAGAGAGTGAACCTGACACTGAGGGAAGGCACCCTTATAAAGACAGAGGCAGAAGTTGAGGTTGTGATTGCTATAATCCACGAAATCCAAGAATTTCTAGCAGACAACAAAAGCTGGGAGAGGCAGGAAGATTTTGCTTCAGAGCACCAGTTGGTGGGATGGCTAAGAACAGGCAAAGATAGCGGAATCATGCCCTCAGACATTTGTAAGTCCAACACTCACATCTCTATTTTAAAGTGTTCAAAGCCTTCAATTCTTTAATGTCATTATTTTAGAGAACTTTTTCCAGGGAGAAGTTCAGAGAGCCTCCAAGGCTCTGCCTCATCCCTTTTTTTCTAATTCTGCCCTTCACTTTGCCCTCAATTCCCAGGCTTTTCTCCACAGGGAGGTTGTTCCACAGCAGAAAACAAACAAAAACAGGTGGCACCATGTTGATACAACCATGGGCAAAATCAACAAGGAGAGGCCACTGCCTTATAGTTGGAATGAGGTTCAACATGACTGTCCTCTGAGAGGAAAATTTAGAGACAGACATACAGAAGGGGGAAGGCCATGTAAAGATGGCGGCAGAAACCAAGGTTACAGAGATAGATGATTCCGAGATCGTGTTCTGGTAGTATTATATCAAGGGCAGCAGTCCTCACATACTTCACCCATCCTCAGGGTCCATGCTGAGCAATCCAAACTCTTCTGAAGATAGCTAGCCTGCCACTCTTACTGTAACCTAACTCTTCCTTGTAAGCTACTCTTTGTAGCTAACCCTGGGCAACGGGCTAGCTAATCTTGTTTTCTCCCAGATCAATTCATTCCACCAACCACACGTGCTAACTCTAACCTAAAGTTATGTACGTGAGTCAGGCCAGGACTGGAGCATAGCTCCGTGGTGGCAGACAGGAGATGCTGTGAGGGAAGGTGAACAAATATGAGTGCTTTGTCAGTCCTGTCTGCCAATATGCTCGGACCTCACCACAGGACTTCGCAGTGTGCTGCGACTTAAACTGAAACATAGAATGACTAGTTTAACTTTGCAGGAGAGCTCTTGAACTAGAGTATAACTTACATGGGAAAGATAAATTCTTTTATATGTTTATTGTTATGGAATTTATAAAATTAGCTACTGCAAGCTCTGAACTTCTCTATACTGCAGAGTGAGGCCCCCCTTTCACAATGAAACTTGTTGGAGAAATTGCTGGTTTCAGGCAGCAGGCAACTACTTAAAGCACAGACTTCGGTGTCTGACACAAAGGCTTCTTGGGGCTGATCCCACCATCTCTGGACTTCTGAGTCTAAGTTAGTCACTTTATTTCTTGAAGGTACATTTCTCCATCATTTCTATATATGAGACTGTTCTTTCACAGAATTGTTATAATGAGAGATGATATAATATTTTGAAGTACCCAGGACACTGAAATTATCATTTCAAAATAATAACACCAGGAGTAATAATAAGTAAAATGACACTAAGGTCAGTGCACTAAGTATTCAGTTATATTTTAAATCAATTTTCGCAGGCCATTGTAGTTTGTTTTGTCATAATTAGTAACTTGAGACGCATTTACTAGCCAGAGAAGTGGGTCAACAACTAATATGGCGGAAGAAGAGAGG